AAAATGCAGCAGGAGAGTACCGTCGAGAGGTGCCGGGGGAATTTGGGAGTAAAGAGGAAGCCCTAATCTAATCAGGAGGGAGGGGATGGTGAGATAATAATAGTGGAGATGTATTTTGAAGGGTACATGACACACTCAAGAAGCATGTGGAAACTGACACATTGTAACTGACTATCCTTCAATAAAAAAAAAGCACACGGAGTATCTGGTACACAGTCGGTTCCTGGAAGAGCTGACTCTGGAGATCCACCCTTTGTGAGAGAGCCTGGTGGATTAAGGGAGAAAGCAAGAGACAGACAGACAGGGGCTTCTAGGAGCAGCAAAGACCGTGTGCAGCTGGAGCCCAGGGTGGCCGTGGGCAAGCCCAGGGCCATGGTCACAGCTTGGAAGATCTGCAGGCAGGAGCTGAGGTGCTTGAGTGCTGGACCACAGAATTTAGACCACCCTGTAGGCCACGTGGGTTTCCAGCCCTGCTACCTGGTACCAGTCCACTGAGAAATTGGAAAGATTCCAGGATCGAGTCAAGTCAGTTTCCAAGCCATGCTTGCTCTAGGGTCATTAAAGACCCTGAGGCATCTGCAAGGAAGAATATAGTTGAACCTCATCATTTCCCAGACATGTTTGACCTCAGGATCCTTTCTCCACCAAAATCTATCAGCCTCACACAGAGCTGGCAGCATTCCTGGGGGCACGAACTGTGAAACAACCATCATGAGAGGAGGATCTTTAAGCAGGGTACTGCCGTGATCTGAGTTGCGTATCAGGAAGGTAACTCCCCCATCAGTAGCCAGAAGGACAGACTGGAGGAAGGGACTCTGGAGGCCAGAGGACTGGTGGGGAAGCTGGTACAGGAGACCAGGAGGAAAGAATGGGGACCTGAACGCAGGCCATGTCAATGAAGAGGAAGAAGAGGGTACAGGAGTTAATAAGGAGGTAGGGTCAACTGGCATCAATGACTGAATTTAACTGTTACAATAATGGGAACTCCCTGAAACCTGGGAATCAGGGCCGGGTGTTCTGACATGAGCCCAGGGTTGGTGAGTGGTCACCAAGGAAGACCCCTCCTGTCCCTCAAGCCCGGCGGCCAGTCCTAACACAGAGGGACGAGGACGTGATGGTTCCAAGGGACCCTGCACCTCTGCCCAGCTGGCACTCCTAGGCCGTGTACTTCTGAAGCCAACAAGTGCTGAGCGGGGCCAGCTCTATGGCGGCAAGGGTGAAACTGGCGTGCAGTTTGACATGTGCTGATTAGGTGTCTGTTGTGTAGTGGGGCCCCAGGAGGGAGGAGAGGAGGGTGGAAGAGTGCGTCAGGACCCACCCCGGGTAAGTCCGTCACCCCTGGCCGTCCCCTCAGTGTGGGAGAAGGGACTTGGGAGTCGGAAACCGAGAGAGGCCAATCCCAGCTCTGCCATCCCAGCTGCACAACCCGGAGCAAGTTCCCAGCCCCTCTCGCTGGTCTCCTAGGTCTGCACAGCAAAGTCCCACCAGATGTGGTGGCTTTGAAGCAGTAGAAATTAATTCTCTTGCAGTTCTGGAAGCCGGAAGTTCAATGTCCAAGTGCCCAAGAGCCAGGACCCCTCAGAGCTCTCGGGGAGGAGGCTTCCTTGCTCTTCAGCTTCTGGGGCTCCAGGGCTTCCTTGGCTCGTGGCCACCACCCTCGAGGCTCTGCCTCCTCCCACAGCCGCCCCTGCGTCTCAGATCTCCCTCTTCTCTCTCTGATACAGGCATCCGCCATTGAATTTTGGGTCCACCGGGAATCCGGCATGATTTTATCTCTTGTCTTTGGCTTAATTACATTTGCAATGTCCCTGTTTCCAGATAAGGCTCCATCCACAGGTGCTGGGGTTAGTACTCGGACATAGCCTCTGGGGACACTCTTCACCCACTGCATCCCCACTTCACGTGTCTGCCTCCTCGTCCGAAATGTGGAGAGCACTGTGGTGCCTGTCTTATTGGCTGACTGGGAGGATGAAGCGGGTAGTGTGCATAAAGTAAGTCCCTAACACCACACCTGCCCAATGCAGTCTCCACACTCTTTGATCCATATGTGAACTAATGGCGACAGATATGTGTCTGGCACTGGCCCTTCCAGCTCCAAACCTGTATGATACCCTCTCTTGTAAGCACTGTGACCCGGGCCACCAAAGCCGTCGTGTTGGTGGCGTAGGGATTATGACAGAAATGTTGATGTTCTCTCAGCCCTAAGTGCACAGCAGAGGAAAGAGTGTCACCTCCTCGGGGAGTGCAGTCACAGGCTGCGGACAGGTCTCACTTGGTTGGTCACGACAGCCAGAACAGAAGGGCTCAGTGGCTGCTTCTACCCTGAGCTCCAAATGGGCTTGGGGCTGCCAGGCATGACAAGGATGTATGGGGACCACCCGGGCAGGCCGCCACCCCTGCACTCGAGGGCGCGTCCCTGCCTTCTGCGCTGTGTGAGCAGGGGGCTGGGCCCGCGGCTGTCAAGCACGATGCGCCTCCTTCTCTCGCAGAACCCTCAGCACAGCGGGAAGGACAAGTGCGCAGATTGTGATGCGGGGAAGGAAGCCCTTCTAGGCTGGAGCTCAACCTCAGGCTCCGTGAGATGCAAAATAGCACAGCTCAGAGCCCAGAGCATGCTAGGAAATCAAGTATTTATTCGCTGGGTTTTTTTTTTCTTTTATTGAAGTTTAGTTGATTTGCAGTGTTGTGCGGGTTTCTGGTGTGCAGCATAGTGATTCAGTTATACATGTATATACATATTCTTTTTCATTATAGCTTATTAAAAGGCATCGAATATAGTTCCCTGTGCTGTGCAGTAGGACCTTGTTTATCTATTTTATGTATAGTGGTTTGTATCTGTTAATCCCAAACTCCTAATTTATCCCTTCTCCCTCTTTCCCCTTCGGTAACCATCACTTTGTTTTCTTGTCTGCGAGTAGGTTTCTGTTTTGTAAATAAGTTCATTTGGCTTCTCTTTTCAGATTCCACATGTAAGTGATAACATGCGATACTTGTCTTTCTCTGTCTGACTTACTTCACTTAGTAGGATGATCTCTAGGTCTATCCTTGTTGGTGCAGATTGCTCACCGGGTGTTTAACGAACAAGTACGCTCACCACCCTTGAATTCAGGTTGATCTAGGCTGGATGGGAAGAAATGGACAAAAAGGTGTTGGAAATGCAAAACTCAGCGGGTCTGGAGACTGACAGGTCAGGAGGCTGAGAAGGATGAAGTTTGGCTGATGCCTAGGCTGCCTGGGTGGACCGTGGGGAGGCCAAGCATGCTAAGAAGGTGAGGTTTGAATGATAATTCTGCTACTAAAACCAGGCCCAGGATTTCTGGAGCATTCACTGTGGACCAGCCAGGCACCGGGCTTAGCGCTCAGCATGCATTTTTTCCTTCATCCTCATAAGAACCCTGTGAATAAACTGTTATTATTGCTCACATTTTACAAAACTGAGGCAAAGAGGCTTGTTCACTCAGCTTTGGCCACACTGACCTTCCTGGTTCCCAGCACACCATCTTGCTTTCTTTGTGAGATTGAAATAATCCACAGAAATATTTCCTCCAACTCCTAGTCCCAACTTCCCCTGATGTAGACTGAGGATGTTTTTGCACTTAAATGTTGCTATGAACCTATTTCACCTTGGGGTTCGGCCAGTGTGTAAGGCACACCTCAGCCTTGCTCCTCCCTGCTGTGTGACTTCCTGGACACTGCTGTCCCTCTCTGAACCTCTTCAGTGAAATGGGTCCAATGAAAACATGACCCTGAGGTTGTTGAGAAGAGGAAAGGAGAACCCTCGGGTGAATGTGCTATAAAATACAAAGGCAGTGGGGAGTGTCGCTGGAGGGCAGCTGAGATCTGGCCGCCCATTGGATTCAAGTGTCCACGTGCCAATCCAGAGTCCAGATTCGAGCATCCACGTGCGCCCTCATCGGCCTTGTCTGACCCTTCCTGCTCCCATGCCATCTGAATGCTTGTCTGAAAACTGAGTCAAGACATCTTTAATCACAACATGTTCTGGTTCCCTGAGGCAGTTTGGCTGCTCTGACACCTGTGAAATGGAAGTATGTCTACAAAATAACTTGCTAGAAATTAAGCACATTTCCCAAAACTTTCCTGGAAGCCAATGTGAGCAATCAGAGCCTGGGATGCGCTCCTGCCTGAGGAGTTGGGGCTGAGGCAGTGAGATGAGCCACCACCCAGCAGCTTAGGATGCGGCAGGGCCAGGAGACCCGCAGGGCAACGATGGTCCCTTGAAGTGAGAGTGTCCACCACACCCTGGCCTCTACCCTCCATTTGTTTTGTAATTGAGATGGAATTCACATAATGTAAAATGAACTGTTCTGAAATGAACACAGTGGCTCTAGTGCATTCATAGTGTTGTGTCACCACCACCTCTGTCGAGTTCCAGAGCATTTTCATCACCCAGGGGAACCCGAGTGAGCAGTCGCTCCCCATCCCCTCCTCCCGCAGGCCTGGCAGCCCTGACCTGCCTTCTGTCTCTGTGGATTTTCTGGGTGTTTCCTATTAGGTGCCACCTGGGCTAAAATAAGGTTGTTTCTGAGTCAGGCACCAGGCACAGAGAGCTCTAACCGTCCTGGTTGTCAGGATGCCTGATCCCGTGTCGGTACCAGAGCCAGAGGGACATTTGTCAAGTTTCTAGACCCCTTAGGGTGAGTTTCTTCATCTTAACTCAGATGTGACCCACCCCCTGCTGACCGTGACTCACGGTCCAGCAAACCCACGTCCTCCTGGGCTTTCCCTGGCTCTCCCCACGGAACCCGCCTCGGGATGCTCTGCGTTCTGCCCCAGGTGTCACACCGGTGTCTTCTCTCGTGCCTGCATCTTGTTCTCAGCTGGCTCGTGGCTTACGGAGGGCAGGAACCACGTGGCATAGTGGGCGGAGTACTGGCCTTGCCATCCAAAATGCGGGGTCCCAGGCCCCGTATCCTCTCTCCAGTGGGCAATGAATGGAAACTGAGGTGTACAGTGATGTTCTTTTGTCCTGTCTTTGGCAGCCCCGGAAGTGTTCCAGGTGTATGTGGACGGAGGCCCCGGGTACTCGTACCCCGTTGACTGGTGGTCCCTGGGCGTCACGGCCTACGAGCTGCTGCGGGGCTGGGTAAGTGCGCGCCTGCGTGGTGAACACCGGGGCTGTGGGGGAGGGGCTCAGGTCCCACCAGGCGTGGGCGGAGTCAGCCGGCCTTGCCTCTGGGTCCACGCACCGCGTCGGAAAGGAGCCCAGATGTCAGTCCTAATTGCCTGTGTGCCAGGTCCAGAGCCCTGAGCGTTAGGGAGGTCTTAGCAAGCTTCTGGTCCAGCCCTCATTCTACTCGTGGGGAAAGGGATGTCTGGAGAGGAAGGGTCTCAAACAAAGCCCAGCAGCCGATCAGCGGCAGCTCGAGCACCCAAGGCCCCTGGGTCCTGTGATTTCAGACGCTGACCTCTTTCCCACCCACGACGCGGTGCACCCGTGTGTGGCTCTCCAGCTGGTTTTTGTTTGTTTGTTTGGTTTGGGTTTTGTTCCAGTCTTCTCCCAGTACGTAGCTCAGTGTCCTATAAAAATGGGGCATTCGGTACGACATAATTTTGTTTTGTTTCATTTAAATTGAATAGCCGAAGATGACTAACAGGGCTATTTGGCAACTAATAACTCACAGTTTTATTTTAACAGAAAGAATGATGACAAACTAATTTTGAGACATGTCTTCTTTACACACAAGTATCATTTGAAAATGATGCCACTTAACCTCTCAGGAGCAGGGCTTCCCCTTCGGCGCAGTGGGGCGACTAACCTCCTTTCAGCCTGTTCTGGGGAGCTGAACTTATCATGGGATTATTACGCCCCAGGGCAGGGACGCACAGTTTGCATGTAACTCACCTTCTAGCTCCAGGGCCCAGCACACAGCCGGCAGAGAGCTAGTTCCTCCCACTGGCTGCAGTTTTAACATTGCCGCAGGGTCGTCTGCGTATTCAGAGTGGGGAGACAGCGCTCCTTGAGGGCAGGGGTTCCCAGTGCATGGAGACAATGGCGGGAATGAATGAATGAATGACAGTTGTGAGTTTTCTCAGGCACTGAATGAAAACGGCTCCTCTCCCCCAGGCCAACCTATTCCTGGTTGGTTCCTTTGTCCTGTGCTGCCTCCCTGACTTACACGCTCGAGGACGGAACACAAGGGTCCCCAGGATATCTGTATGGACCAGAGGGCACAGACATCGCCAGACGCTCTTCATCTTACATAATCAGTCATACACGTGACCCTGGTGAGCAGCTGACCTGAGCATGATGGGGCGTTTGCCAGCAGAAAGCATATTCTCGGTCATTCCTCCCAGGTCAGAATGATCAAAGATGACTTGACAAAAAGCCCCAGGGGCTTCAAGATAAAATGTTTCGTTTTTAATTCATTTGAGTTTTCTGCTCAAGAATCCAGATGCCACTTTCAGTGGAAGAGGGCGGGGCGCGTGGTGGGATGGGGGCAAAGGAACAAGAATGCCTGCTTGGGGTCAGTGTTGCTGTGTCTTGGTCTGTTGTTCTTCAGCCGAAGTATGGATTTATGCAGGTAGTTGGTTCTGTTTCTAATGCCGGAAGCAGTCCGTTTAGGCAACAAGCTAAACTGAAAAACACTCATATTTATTCATGGACTATATGAAAATGATCCTTTCAAATTGGTCCTTCATCCTTGAAATTCCTCCATCATGTCTGTGGCAGCATCCCTGACAGGCGATCACCCATCTGTTCCTTGATTTCCGTCAGGATCCAGGGGGCTCCTCAACTCCCAAAGATGAAAGAAAGTCATGATGGGAACCCAGCACCCGGACTGATCCATGGTCAGCAGTTGGTCATTGTTGGCTGCCTTCCCCTGGTCTCTCTGATGCCTACCCCGGGGGCCTGCATCCTTTCCAACCCAGCATCTCAAGCTGGAGGCAGGTCCTAGGAGTGGAGGCTGAGTCATGCCTGGCTGCTGACCATTAGTGGGGAGGTCCTAGGGCCCGGTGAGCAGAGGTCTGGGCTCCCTTCCACACTCCGTGCACCTTAGTCACTCAACTCACCTAAGCCCTGTTTGCCTCCTTCATAAGATGGGGACGATGAGGCCGGCCCACGGGTCATTACGTGGGGGATTATGGGAGCGAACGTGCGCAGTGCACGGGCGGCGCCCGCACCCAGGAGGCATGCTGACCTCTCAATAAACAGGCACGTGGGGATGATTCTGAGACAGGCAGATGCACAGGAAGTGCTGATGGCATTCTTAGATAAGCAGGGAGAATTTCTGGGAGGGAGGAAGCATTTATGTGGGGTCACAGATGAGTTGCTGGAGGGAACCGTGTGAGCAGAGATCGGGAAGAGCAGCTGAGGCCAACACAGCCAACGCTTTAGACTGACCAGCTGTCAGGACAGTCGGGGAACTGCCTAGAGAGGACCCTGAGGCCAGCTGGAGACACTTGGCTTCCCGCCATAGGTAGTGCGGTGCCATCCACAGAAGCATCAGCAGGGAGGTTAAGTGAGAGGCTGGGCTTTGGAATCATGTGTTTCGGGGGCCAAATCCTAGCTTGGCTGAGGTGAGCCCATTTCTTATAGGGTGTTGAGCAGCGTCCCCTGCCTCTACCCACTAGATGCCAGTAGGAATGGCCCCTACACAGTTATGACAACGAAAATGTCTCCAATCATTGCCTGATGTCCCCTGTGGGACAAATTATCCCCACTTGAGAACCACTGTCATAGAGCAATCAAGGCGACTCAAGGAGATCCTGGACGTCAGGCCACCGACCCGTGACCTTGCAGAGTGTACTTTTCATGCGGACGGCAGTGGAGCCCTGAAAGCCCACACTGTGGTGCCATCAGGACTTCTACCGCCTCTGCATCTCCCCAGCCACCTCCCGCACCTGGTGTCACCCTTGCCTTTGACCCCAGTCAACGCCTGTCCTTAGGGCTGGGCACACAGAGGAGGTGGGGGCATGGAGAGGCCGGTGGGTAGTAGAGGGAAGGTAGGTGTCCAGAGCTCCTGGAGGTGGAGGGCAGAACTAAGGGCACTGGATTCATGCCAGGTGGCGGGCTCGACCACAGGGACGAGGAGCCTGTGGATCAGCCCAGCCAAGGGAGAGGAGCGGCCTTGGGGTTGAGCACTGTCTGCTTGACCTGTGGTAGAACACTGTGCCAGGAGTCAGAAACCAGGGCGGACGTGAACTCTGTGATTTCGTTCCTCCGGATTGGCTGTCTGCATTTGGGAAGGGTTTTCAAGCCATGTTTCTTGAAACTTCAGGACCCTGCAGGGGGTGATTCATGAGGAAGAAATACTTCTCCAGACTTTGGGGGTTTAAATAGCCTGAGGACCTGCTCTTCCCTTTCATCTGTTCTGTGTTTGGGATTTGGGGAGAAAAAACGCTGGATGAGATGGTCCCCCAGGCCCAGCTCAGCTCTAACAGTTAAAAGTACAGGTCTGTGGCAGTCCTTGTCCTCTTTCTTCTATTTCTTGGTAAATTGGCAATTGTTTTGTAAACTGAGTTTCCCAGAATAGTGACACACCCGCACTGCGTAATGGGTATACCCGGTGCCCTGCTGCCGAAACCGCTTTCACCAGCAGGACGTGTAGTCACTTTACCTTATGTGTGTCACTTGGTTTTCTGAGTCAACACATCCTAAGGCCAATCAGTGAGAAGTAAGCGTCAGCAGAATTCCCTACCACGAGCAGAAGGAGTATCGATCCTCACATTTGCTGGTGTTCTTGTAGAAGGACCTGGGTTTCTCCACAGCCACCCACAGAGGTCAAGGCTGAGCCTGGAGCCTAAAGGGGCAGGGCTGGTTTTAACCATAGTGTTCCAAGTCCATTTCCAAATGGATTAGGGCTCTGTTGGCCTCATGGCTTATTATAGTTACCATTATCATCGTCATGGTTATTTTTATTAGTCTGGTTCCCTTCAGAGGTGGAGAGAACCACAGAGAGGCAGAGAGTGACTTGAGGGTCTGATGGGAAAGCAGAATTCACGAATGCCTGGAAGTAACCAAGAAGGAAACAGAGAATGAAACGGAAGTGATAAATGTCTTCACACGTGTAGCTAGCTGGTTCTCCAGTGGGGTGCTTGGGTTCCCGGGCTCTGGTGGGAAGGGCAGAGGAGGAGAATCTGGGTCTTGGTGGGACGCTGGGAAAGTCGCTTTTCATCTCCCAGCCTCAGTTTCCCAAACTTTAAAATGAAGAGGTGGAGGGGGAAGGGATAGCTCAAGTGATAGAGTGTGTACTTTAGTGTGCACAAGGTCCTGGGTTCAAGCCCCAGTGCTCCCTCCAAACATAAATAAATGAACCTAATTGCCTCCCCCCAAAATAATAAAAATAGACTTATAAACAAACAAACAAACAAACAAAGTAAATAAATAGGTAGGTGAGCCTGCGTCATCTCCCAACAGCCCTCCACCTGTGGTCGCTGTGTTCCAGGGCGGGGCTGGGATGGGAGTCAGAGAAATGGCCTTTTGAGAGGCAAAAAGATGATAAGAAGCAATCCTGAGTGGTTCAGACACCCAAGTCTCAGCCCCCGGCTTGTCTTCAGGTGCTGGCCAAGCCCTGGTACCCAGCATCTTCCCCTGCTCTGCGCCCTAAACCCCCGACAGTGCCTCCCAGCACCCACCCCGCACCCGAAGCCTCTTACTGCTGTGTCCCTCAAGGCAGCGAGCTCAGGTGGGTAGGGCCTCTGCTGTCTTGCTCACACCGGGGGCCCAGTCTACAGAGGACACTAGCACATCCCAGGAGCAACGTGGAAATCAGACACCTCTGATCAGAACTCTGCGTGGACGGCACAGGGGGTTGTAGGAGCCTGCTGGGGCTGCTGTGACAAAATGCGACAGCCCGGGTGGCTGAACAACAGAAACTTGTTCTCTCACGGTTCTGAGGGCTGGAAGTCCAAGGTCAAGCTGTCCAAGGGTCGACGCCTTCTGAAGGCTGTCTCTGCGTGTGGACGGCCATCTTCTCCCTGTGTCTCTTTGTGGGGTGTCCCCTCTACGTATCTCCCTTATGTCCTCGGTGCCCCATTTTGGAAGGTTTCCCCTGTTGATAAGCACCGCAGTCACACTGGGTTGACCTCATGTTGACTTGATTACTTCTGTAAACACTCTGTCTCCAAATAAGGTCACACTCGGAGGTGCTGGGGTTCACACGAATTTGGGGGAGATGATACGCCCATGACGGTAGTGGTCGGGCGAGCTGGGGGTTCACGCTGCCTGAGCTTTCATCTCGGTGCTACCACGACCACATCCCAGCTCTGGGGCGCCGGTTCGTCTTCTGTAAAGTCGAACTCATGGTAGCGAACTGAGGAAGACGCGGGAGTCCTGGGCCTCGCGCTAAGCACTGTCAGCACACGTTCACTCTGATTCCTGGTCACGGTTGTTGTTGCTGGTGGAATGCGAAGGGATCTCGCACATACAAAAGCAGGCAGCAGCTCTGGGCGGAAATTTGAACATTTTAAAACTGAAACCATACTCCACTTCTCATTAAATGAAAAGATGTTTGCAGAAATCGTTAAAGCATGTTAGCGTATCAAGCTAATTGGACTTTCTAGGGAGCCCACAGTTTTGGGGTTTGCATGTTGGGCAGAAGGGGGATGCCCGATTCAATTAACAGATGAGGGAGAAGCTGCCCCTCAGGAAAAGGCCCTTTCAGGAGGCACAGGCACACCCATGTAGGCGGTCATCTTCCGCGGGCCGGGGGGATGGGTGGGTGGTGGTGCCGGGTAAAGATAAAGATGCTCCTTCATTCCCGGGAATCGTAGCCCACCCAGGGCTCAAAACTGCCTCACCTCCTTGGGTCGGCCCCTCCTCTTCACAGCAGCCCCGTGGGAATCCAGGTTCCATGAGGTTGGAGCTGGCGCCTTACACACCACGGGAGCCCAGATGGTGTCTAGGTTCATGGTCAGCATTCAGTCAACAGCTGTGGGTGGACTGGCCATCATCTGTGTCACTGTTGTGCTCTGGGACCTGCTGGATGGCAGACACTGCTCGGGGTCCTGAGAACACAGAGGTGGGGTGATATAGTCCCACCTTTCAGGGGTCCCCAGTAGGAATTCCACACCAGAGAGTAAGTTCGTGTGGGTTAACAGTGAGCTCAAACAAGATTACACTGTATAGCACAGGGAAATATACACAAAATGTTATGATAAATCACAGAGAAAAGAATGTTACAATGAGTGTGTATGGGTCCATGTATGACTGAAAAATTGTGCTGAACACTGGAATTTGACACAACACTGTAAAATGATTATGAATCAATAAAAATGTAAAAAAAAATAAATAAAAATAAAAATAGTTAAAAAAAAAACAAAGTGAGCTCAGTCCTCCAGATTTCTCCAGGATCAGTTTATTGTTGAAACACACTTGCTTAGGAAACAACTTCCTGCCTTCGCACTGAGTCATGTGACCACGGTGCAAACCTGAGAGCATCTCAGACCACGCAGTCAGGTGGAGGATGAAGGGGATCAGAGAGAGCTGTTCTGTGGTGGGGGGGGAGTGTCGGAGGGAGTGAGGCGATGTGTAGACACTGTCCAAGCCTCTTCCCCAGGGTCCCAGTCAAGAAAGTCTTCCCGAGCTTTGAGAGGTGCTTAGAAGCAAGAAACTGCCCGAGGCAATGTCAGGAGAACTCTTCAGGAGGTTTAATGCTCTACCAAGCCGGGGAATTGTACCGAGCTGGGGAACTGGGAGAGAACAGGGCTTCAGGGCTTAAGCATCCTCCCCGGAGGGGAGAGGGGATGGCAGGAGGAAGAGACCCAGCCTCCCCACACCCTTCCCCCTGACCCGGCCCTGCTCACTCCGGGCTTCCTCGGCCCCGGGAGGGAAGGTGCAGCTAAGGCCCGCCGGTAGGTGAGGGGCTGTGGATGGTGAGAGCCTGGGCGTAGAGTGGGGACTCGGGCTAGGCTGAGGGTGTGGGTCCTGTCTCCGCCGGTTACAGCCTGTGTGACCTTGCCAAGTCACCTACCCTCCTGGGGCCGTGAGAGATCAGCCATGTAAGAGGAACACCCCCGTTACCTGAAGGGGAAGAACAAATCATGCCGTGTAATGACAGCTTTAACCATGTCGGCGGCTCTTCCACTTGCGCTCGCTCTCTCTGATACCACCTGTTGTCCTTGGGTTGCAGAGACCGTATGAAATCCACTCGGCCACGCCCATCGACGAGGTCCTCAACATGTTCAAGGTGGAGCGTGTCCACTACTCGTCCACGTGGTGCAAGGGCATGGTCGCCCTGCTGAAGAAGGTAAGGGGGCAGCCGCCAGCCCACCCGGCCAGGGAGCTGGTCCCCGGGTGCAGAAACAGGCACGCCAGCGAATTAAGGAGTGAGAGGACGAATGGCGTGACAGCGGGGGAAATGATAATGGAAGCAGGGCTCTGGCGCCTCATCGTCCGCTCTCACCGTCTCGCAGGAAGACCGCAAAGCCCCTGCTGGACAGTGGGGTGTGGCGTGGCGTCCTGTCGGCGACAAAGCCCTCAGGCTCTTTTCACTCTGCTCCAAGCTCTGAATAATTAGAAATACTTAATGCACGTGGTTCCTTAAAAATTTTATAAATAGTCTTTTAACTCACTGAGCTTTAAGAAATTGGGCATCTCCTGACTTTTTCCAGGAACTATTGCCGTTAGAATAAAGCAGAAATTCTCCAAGTGTGGTTCCTGGACCAGCATCACCTGGGAGCTTATCGGAAATGCCGATCCTCATTTGGAATCTGCAGACCTTCTGAATTACAAACTGGGGCGGGCCCCTTGTCTGTGTTCTGATAAGCTTTCCGGGTGCTCCTAGGGCGGGCTGGAGTTCGCACAGGCCGTGGTCATGGCGCCCTCCTTCCGAGGCTGGTGTTCAGCTAAACTCACTCGGAATCTTCGAAGACACAGAGTCGAGCCTTGCATGTGGTTGGCACCAGTCACCTTTAATAAAAGAATGACAGCAGCCAACACTGGTTGGGGGAACGTTAAGTTCCGGGCCACGCAGCGGCCCTGCTCACTAAGTAAGGCCTGCGAGCGGAGTGCTGCCATTACCCCCACAGCAGAGATGAGAACACTGAGGCTTAGAACACTGGGCTGTTAGAGGGCAGGGGAGGAACTGAATCCCAGCTCTCCACACTGCGGATGTCAGCTCTTAATCCCTGCACCACTGTGGATGACTTGTGGGATTACTCCTGAGTTAAATTGCTATAGAGGAGATTCAGCGCTTGGATTTGGCCGTCAGTGGTCCTGAACTCCAGCTGCTAATGGAATCATCTGTAGTCCCTACACACGCCAACACCTTCCCGTCCCGCTCACCCAGGGAGTCAGGGAGCTAGCTGCTGCCCTGAAAGGTGAAACCCCCCACCCTGCCCAGGGCACTGAGGTGGCGTCTCTGAATCTACATCCGTCGTCCTGGGGCAGCCCCTAGAGAGAGGCCACCAGGATCATCAGCAGGTGGGACCCTGCCCGGTGTCCCTCACGTGGTGTGACTCCAGCCCACTGGCTGTGGTGGCAGGTGGCAGCAGACTGGCAGGGGGCCCTGATGCTGGCCCGCACCTGCCAGCAGCTGGGTGTGGCATCCTGCCTTACCACATGCCGGGTGCTGACCAGTCCCCGTCGGGTGTCGTCCGAGCCATGAGCTGGAGGTGGAAGAGTTACCTTTACTCTTCCAGCTTTCCGAGGAGGAAGCGCGCAGAGCAGCCACTCACCCGGCTACCAAGTGGCCGTCCCAGGGCTGGACCCCAGCTTTCATCTTTAGCCCAGGTGTTCTTTGCACCGGATAATCCCCTCTGGATGCAGGAGAATATTGTATAGCTGTTTGTGTTCTTAACAGCATCACCCATTGTTAGCAGAAACTCTATTTGAGGAGAGGCCAAAATTGTCCCCTGGGCTACAAATGAGGGCCACTCCATCAGGCTGCAGAAGTCACCTCAGAGCTGTTCAGGGATAAATTTGATTATGCTTTTGTGTATCCCGTTACTGAGCTGAAAGTCCTGAAACAAGGTGGCTAATTCTTTTTATTTTTAATTGGAAGCCTCTGCAGACATCAGGGAGAGGTGACATGTCACAGGGTGTGAGTCCCTGAAGGGAGCACAGTGGTTGAAAATCTGGTCCCTGCCTAAGAGCCCCTGACTGGATGACCTTGGGCAAGCAGCCTGACCCCTCAGTTCCTGGCTGTACAGAGATGGGTGTAGGTGACGCTTCCAACCACAGCAGCCCAGACAGGGCATGACATTAATGGAACGTGAAAAGTAGGGGCACATTCATTTTCCCGCGAGTCCCCACTAATCTCGGGGAGGGGGTGCACCGCCCAAGCTAACACATTTGCCCTTTGCCTGCAGCTCCTGACCAAGGACCCCGAGAGCCGCCTGTCCAGTCTCGGTGACGTCCAGAGCGCACCCTACTTGGCCGACATGAACTGGGATGCGGTGTTTGAGAAGGCGCTGACACCTGGCTTTGTGCCCAATGTGAGTGAGGTCCTGTCCGGTGGCATGCCGCCCTCTGCAGGGTCCCCCGCCTGGGCGTGCAGGAAAAGCCTACAAGCTGGCCAGTGGGGCCCTTCCTGGTCATGGTCACTTGAGCACCAGAGGGATGAGTTTCACTAAGATTCAAGATGGATTTGAACCTGATTTCTGATGTCCAGCTGGGCAGCTTCTCTCCCTGGAGCAGGTCCTCGTGGGCACAGAACCTCCCATCTCTTACTGAATCACATCCGTGATGCACACAGGTCCGGGCCCCGGGGGGAGAGGGGCTGGCAGGAGCAGAGTGAGCCCTGCTTTCATGGAGCCAACTGTCCAGTAGAGAAAGACATTGGGCCACCAGTAAGTGTATAACCTGACTCCAGGTAGTGATGTGGGTGATTACCATGCACAGAAGAGCTAAGACAAACGAGACCAGGATGAAGGATGAAGAGGCAAGGGCTGCTCTGAGGTAGAGTTGGCAGAGGTCTGAACTCGGCGAGAGAACCAGGCTTGCAGGGACGGGACTGAGCCTTCCAGGCAGAGGGAACAGCAAGATTACATGCTGCCTCGGGGCAGCCAAAGCTTGGGTTTCAAGGAACAGTGAAAAGGTTTTATAGCAAGAGCTGAATAAAATAGAGAGAAAATAATAGGGAATGAGGGTGGGAGGGGCAACAGCCCGTACCCTGGAGGCTTCCGGAGGCCGGAATAAGGGTTTCAGACTATGTCCTCCAAACACCTGACTATTGTCTGCAGGGAGGTGAAACCCCATGGGAAACAGGTCTGGGGCGGGGGCAGGGAAGCTGGGGGCTGGGGTGGGCGCTGGTCTTGCATTTCCCCGGGAGTCTGCAGAACGCACTGAAGGAGGAGCGATCAGTGGGACAGAAGTCCTGGGCTACAGTCCAGCGCCGCCACCTCTGTGCTGTGAACCCAGTGCATATTTCTGAGCAGGGGAAGCCTGCCTTCTCCGAGTCCCCAGCCCAGAGCTGCCTCTGTCCGCCTCAGGGGCTCCCTGCCTCCTCACAGCCCCTTAGACAGCTGTGTGGAGACGGGTGCCCGAGGCTGTGACAAAGTGGCTGCTCAGCTACTGCCCTTTCCCCTCTTCCCACTGTAGGAGTCCCGGGGCTCTGCCTGGCCAGCTGTGGGCTCTCTGTGCGGGGCGGGTCGCCCGTGCGGCCTGTGCTCGCGGAGCACGTGCGTGTGCAGGCGCCGGCACAGTACCCGCTGAGTCCCTGGCAGTGAAAGGCCGCAGCACCGGTCGTCAGGGGGCTTGCAGGCCAGGGCAGGGCCCCTCGCGGGCGCTCTGCGGGCGTCGGGGCCGGGCAGCTCATTGTGACGGTGCTGTCCTGTGCATCGAGGCTGTTCAGCAGCATCCCAGGACTCTGCCCATGGGGTGACAGGAGCACTTCCCACTTGTGACACCAAAAGTGTCTCCAGACGTTGCCAAGTATCCCCTCCGTACAAAGGCACATGTGATAAACCAGGGCTGCGTCCTAGAAGGAGGCCTGCAGCAGCTGGAGGCTGGGTCCCCTCTGCTGCCTCTGGGATCCCCGGCGCACAGGCTCCAGGAGCAGGCTCATCGCCTGTTAACTGGGGAGAAGACGGGGGCCCCTCACGGATCTTGGGAGGAGCGACTGCCCAGGGGCTTCCAGAGGCTCCGAACAGGGCCTGACACACTGTGAGCCTCCGTAAATACCACCTGGGCCATTGCTGTATTAACAAACCCACTGGAGGGCTGTTCTCAGTTGCCTTCGCTGACTTCATGCAGAATGCACACTCTGGGTATGCAGATAGAGATGCTTGCATTCTCCGTGTCCTCCTCTGCCAAGCTCAGGCCAGATCGATGGAGCCCAGGGATCTTGGTGCAAAGTGTCTAATGAATTCTTCCCCCGCCTCGTCTCAGCCTCCCCAGGGCTGTGTGCAGATGTCCTGGGGGCCACGTGGAGCCAACATGTGGCATTATCTTTTAGGACAGCTACCTGCCTTTGCAGCCATCCCCTGCTGCCCCTCTCTAGCTCCACTCAACACACACACACACACACACACACACATACATACATACGTGCATACTCACACAAACACGCGCGCACTGGGCCCACACCCAGCCACACCCAGATGCCGACAGTTGTCCCCTCTGGCTACAGTTTCTGACCTCCGTATCTTTGCACACAATGCTTCACCTTCCAAGGACGCCCTTCTTGTCCGCTTGGAAATCCCCACCTCTTTCCAGACTCAGCATAAAACACAGCAGCTGGTCCATGGGAGGGTCTTGGTAACTGCCTTCTGGATGAGGAGCAAGCTCAGACGTTGCCTCCTCTGGGGACCTTCCTGGGCAGCCCCTCCGGCTCCTTCCCTGCAGTGAATCACAGCCTCACTGGTTCCCCAGGACAGGCGCCCGGGTCTGCGTTAGCAGCCAGTACCATTCTGTTACAATGTACCTGCCAGCCGCCGGAGAGCTGCAGAGAACAGGGGCCCTGCAGCGTTGGCTGAGAGAGACCCCAGAGCAGTGGGTGACCCTAGAGGCCACTCGAAGCCCTCGGTGTGTGCTTGTCACATGGGTCTGGATGAACTGAGGGTAACAGTCAACAGGGTTGAACATGTTCCAAAACTCCTCATAGAAGCCCCACAGCGGGGAAGGGGGTCCTGTTAGTTCTCTCAGCTTAGCTGAACAGTGTCGGGGTGGGTGACCGGCCACCAGCACTCAGGGAGAAACTGGCTGAGCCAGGACTTGACCTCAGGTGGTCTGGACCCGGAGCCTGCTTCGGAATGAATGAATGAATGAAAGAATGGCAGATAGATCAGGCCAGGAGAGACGGGCCTGAAATCTGACGTGTTCATCGGGAGAGGGTGAGTGGTGGGGGACAGATGTGCCGCGGGGGAGAGGGGAACGCCGGCTGAGTAGCAGAGGTTGGTGTTGGGGGGAGCCCGGCGCAGGCAGGCAGCTGTCGTTTCTGACAAACCCGATGGGACCATTCTGCTGGGACCTCTTCTCCAGGGTGAAGAAAGGAAAGGGGAAAGGACGTAGTGCTGCCCCCAGCAGCCCACGAAGGAAACAGCAATAATAATCACCGCGGTTAACAGCTGGCGGTGCCCCCGGGGCAGGGGCAGGGCCTGGCCTACGGGCTGTACGCTTGCAGGGCTTCTCTCATCTTCCAGTTATGGAAACTATGGCCCAGAGAGACGGGGTGACGTGGTGGTGAGAGGAACAGCCAGGCCACGCCCCAGTTCTGTCTGCAAAGCCCTCCTTCCTCCTGCCGCGGCCGTGACAGGACTGGCTCATGTCCGGGGGTGGGGCAGGCTGGCCAAGGCAAGTTTGATTGCAGGTAGCAAGACCCTCACTTCACAGTTGGAGTTTAAGACCAGGACTCCCACGGGAGACGGCTGGGACTGCAGGGCAGCAGAGGGAATGGCCAGTCATTGCAAGCCTGCCAGGGACCAGGCAGGACCTGTTCCAGAAGCTTCACAGATACTCAGTTAACACTCATCAGTGCTCTGAGCCTGCTGCGTTTTACACAGCTGGGGAAACTGAGGCAGAGAGAGGTTCTACATCTTCCTCGAAGCCACACAGGTGAAAGGTGAGGATGTAGGACTCAGTGGCAAGGCTGGCTGGTCCCCAGAGCTGTGCCCAGCCCCCTTCTCCCTGGCTCCCATCCCAGCAGGAGCGGGGACATCCCCTCAAGGACTCACTCCCTCACCTGGCCCTACGTGAAGGGCTTTATTCATTTGTCTAATTTCCCAAGAGGGAGGACTTCTTATCCAGACTTTACGGAAGGTGAACTGAGTCCCAAAGAAATAAAGAATTTGTCCAGGGTCAGCAAGCAGAGCTGGGCTTTTTTTCTGTGCCCCTTCAGAGCTGTTGACCTTATAATCACGAGACTGAATTGCCTGAGCGGGCTGGTGTCCTGGGCTGGGTCTCCGGGGAGGGGGAAGGGCCACCTGGGACAAGTCAGGGAGCCCCATAGTGCTTCTGACCAGAGTGGCTGGAGCCCGGGCTGGAGCAGGGCCGGGCCTGGGGGTCAGCTGACCCCAGCTGCAGGGGAACAGGGAGCCAGGATTGGGAATTGGGTAGATTTGGGACAGAAATGGCGTCTTTAAATGGAATTTTTAAAAATGTATTTCTATAAAAGCTAGGAATGACATAAGAAGGGGTGTAGAATAAAATAAGTGGAAATACCAGATTGGAAAGCTGAACTCCACCTCCTGAAATGAACATACATAAGAAGATTAAGGAAACGGATGATCACAGGTGGGGTTGCCCAAGGTGGGCAGGTGGGCGGGGATCATGGGGGTCAAGGAATGACTGACGTAGGCAGCAAGCACGCATCTTTGTTCATCATCAGGGAAAAAAATGTAGCTGACGTGTCCCAGAGGGGTAGTTAATTGTTTCTTGTTGAAGGAATGATTGAAGGAATGGATGAAAGTGCAATTCAGTGACCGGTAGAACAAAGACATGCCATGTTTTCTTTTCCACCTCTTTTCAGAAAGGAAGATTGAACTGCGATCCTACATTTGAACTTGAAGAAATGATTCTCGAATCCAAACCACTTCACAAAAAGAAGAAGAGGTTGGCCAAGAACAGGTCCAAAGACGGCACGAAGGACAGCTGTCCTCTGGTGAGAGCCGTCGCGGGAGCAGACCCGAGTGAAGGGAATCCGATGTGCAGTGGATGAGGCTGGGCGAGGCTGCTGCTTCGCCCGATGGGGGCTTGTCACCTCGCCCTCCCAAACACCTTCATTTGCAGTAAATCAGATGCATCTGTGGAACAAGTGGCCTTTCGTAGCACAACACTGTGAAAGCATCACGAGAGGGACGTACGGAGCTCTCACCGTTCACAGCAGCACTGTTCCTAGTGCAGGAGCTTCCGTATCCCTAAGCAGGAGCAGAAGAAACAGCACTGCGTGACCTCAGCTCTGTGCCGAGTAGCCCCCAGTGCCCTTTGCAAAGGTTTTATGCTGGGGGGGCAGGGACTTTCGAGGGGCTCTGGGCACCTGAGCCTCTGTGGGTCCCTGTATTAATTCAGGTTGCCATCACAAAGTGTCACAAACCTGGGGGCTTAAAACAACAGATGTGTATTCTCTCACAGTCCTGGGGGCCAGAAGTTCAAAATCAAGGTACCGACAGAGCTCTGCTCTCTCCAAATGCTGTAGGGAAGGTCCTTCCTGGCCTCTCCTGGCTTCTGGTGGTGGCCAGCAGCCCTCGGCATCCTTTGCAGCTGCACCGGCCAGTCTCTTGCTCCATCTTCACGTGGCCTTCTTTTAAGGACACCAGTCACTGAATTTAGGGCCCACCCTTCTCCGGTGTGATCTCATCTACACTAGTTCCATCTGCAGTGACCCTGTTTCCAATTAAGGTCTCGTCCATCAGCCCTGGGGTTAGGGTTTTTACGTATCTTTTTGAGGGCACAGTGCCCACGAGTGCCCCTTCGTCCATAAAAAAATACATTAAAAACGATCATTTCTGGTGACATGGATATGAAGATGTGCCATGTTGAATATAACTTTCAGCACTAAATGTTCACTTTTTTCCAACTGTGAGAGAAATGAAAACATCTTTGTAGTCCCTGAAAGTATCGGGGGCCCTCCGCTGTGCCTGTGGAGACTAAGGCAGAAGCCTGGGTGCACATTCATCAGGGCGCACAAGGGGGCAGGGTTCCTGCCCAGGCGAGCAGTACGCGCCCAGCATCCAGGCGGCCTCCGAGGTGTGTGTTACGGAGCGTCTGTGAGACTGACGGGCCTCGGCACCTGCTCTGAAGAGAATGAGCATCTTTGCACGATGGTCTTGACGTTCTCCCCCTCCCCCACTGTGCTTCTTAGTTAGTGATCAGGAAACCAAGGTCATGATTTTCTGTTCATATTCCATTTTAACATGGCTTTTCAATTGGATTTAATGGCTTAAAATGGAGATAAATGTCTTTGTCTGCCAGCTCCCCCAGCCCTGCCCATGGCACAGCTGCCTATATGATCAGGACTGCCCCAGCCACTTATCTTGTCCCCAGCCCCAAACGTCCATGGTCCCCTATAGGTCAGTCTCTGCGCCTTGTCGTCCTCTGGATGATGCTTTGTCACTGACAGTCCCCTCTCTGCTCTTTGCCAGAACGGACACCTCCAGCAGTGCTTGGAGACGGTGCGGAAGGAATTCATCATATTCAACAGAGAGAAGTAAGTCCCTCCACCGGCATCCGCTGGGCAGAGCCCGTCTAAGAGCAGAAGGTCTCCCCGGGAGAATCGGGGTCCCTGGCCCCCGCCCCACGAAGCCAGCTGTGGTGCTGGGAGGGAAGCAGCAGGCGGCCCCCGCTGTTCTAACCCTGCGTCTGCCACGCGGCCTGAGCAAGGCACTCCCTTCACCTCTCTGGGCCGCAGGGGCTTCCCGGGAAGTGGGCGGTGGGCGGCCACGGCAGGTCGGAGCGGGCCCTCACGGGGCAGGCGCAGAGGCGGGCCCGCAGATGGCTGTGTGCCGAGCCCCGGAGTGGAACTACCCGGGACCAAGTCCTGGCTCTGCCGCTGCCAGAGTGGCCTGGGGCAAGTTATTAATGTCACTGAGCCCCGTGTACAGCAGTGACCAAATGGAAATCGCTCCCTTGCAGTGTGGCTCTTGTAAGATTCCGTGAGGCTGGGGGTGCGGATAGCTCAGTGGTGGAGCACATGCTTAGCAGGCACGAGGTCCGGGGTTCAATCCCCCTTACCTCCAGTGGAAAAAAAAAAAGATGAAACGAGGCTGTTGATACAATGCCCGGCACAGTAGGAGTACTCATGGAAAGGATGATTATTATTGTTGCTATTATTTAATGAGGGAAGGTGGTGTGGGCTGTGTCAGGACCCCAGCGTCACAGGCAGGCAGGAGACAGGGTGATGCTGTGTTGGGAGGGGCTCCGCGGGGCTCTGACCTGGCCGCACCACTGCCCTTCCAGGGGTTGCCCAGCAAAGGAAGCAAAGGCCCAGGCTTGGTCCCAGCTGCCCTTAGTATCTGGGAGCCCGTCTGCCTGAGGCTGGTTAGTCAGGGCGGAGGCTGGGGCAGCGGTGGGCTTGTGCAGCGGGCGCTGAAGCCCTGCGGGCAGGACTGACAGCGGGTCAGCCCCATTGGGCCAACACTCAACTCGGCCTTGGCCTTGCAGAGATGGTCAGATACGCTTCCCTCCTTCCAGGAGGGCCAGACGGGCAAACGCTGGGTTGACCCTTAGGCAGTCACCAATGTTCCACTGTTTCCGGTTTCTAGCAGCAGAGGGGATGTGTGCCATGGAAAAGGGCAGCCCAGGCAGTGGCTCCCACAGCAGGTGCCAGGCTCAGCCTGGATGTCAGAGAAGCTTCTAGAAGCATCATGCCTGGCTGAGTCCTGAGGATCGAGGAGGGCAAGGTGTGGCGGTCCAGGAACAAGGACAATACACAGAGGAGTGAGACAGCTGGGCAGATGCAGGGACCAAGAGCCGATTAAGAAGTTTGAATTCCTGAGCACGCATGGAGGTGGGCACAAGAGGTGAAGGACCCGGGACAGGGTTATTTAGATTTTGGCCCCGGGGCTGGTGGGCAGGGCAGCACCTCATTCCCAGCGAGGGAGGTGGCGGCCTGTCCTTTCTCCCGGGTGGCTACGGCTCAAGGGCCACTGGTTGCCCCGTTGGCCCAGACACACGCACCAAGCCACTGGAGGACCATGTTTCCTTGGTCCCCACTCTGGCCAGCAGAACGGAAAGGGCCTCTATGACACAGCCCGTCCGACTTGGGGCAGGCGAGGGCTTACGTGGGGAGTGGTTTCAAAGCTCATCGCCATTTCTCTGTGGTCCTGCCTTCTCTGACGCTCACGTCCCTTCCTTCCCTGCCATGGATACCCAGTCCTGGGAACTTCTGCCCAAATCAGCTTGGGTGCTTTGGACCAAAGTGATGGTGGGCTCCAGGGAGCCTTGCCTGGGGTCCTTCACCAGTTCAGGCATGTCTGTAGGGTCCTCAGAGAGTGTCTGGGTAGCAAACGTGAGCGCGTGAAAAGGCAGACGGGCGAGGAACCCAGGCAGTAGCGATTGCGTTGCGCGTTGGGCTGCACGCCAGGAGGTGCTTCCACCTGGAATCGGAAGAATCCAAGTTGCTTCCCTTTCAAAGAAAATGAAAATGAGAGATACCCCCCCGCCTTGTGTCGTTCAGGGGCTGCACCTGGCTGCTTTCAGCAGAAGCACCACCCTGCAGTGGCTTCAGCCAATTAGATTTTCTTTCTCGCGTGGAAGAGTGAACTGATTAGGAAAATGTAGTAGGACTGCCCAGCCGGCTGAGGACCCCTTTGAGAGCTGGGGTCATGGATTTTGAAGTGAGGCTGGCACAGTTAACAGGAGTTAGCAGAATAAAGAGAGGGTGGAAGTCATATTCCAGTCTGGGGGGTCAGGGATCAGCATATGGAAAAGAGGAGGCAGGGAAGAAAAGCGCTCAAGGTGGGAGCTGTGCACGGGTCGGACTGTGGTTCCCGCTCCCTCGTCCCTGCCTCTCTGCTCACCTGAGATACTCCCCGGTGGCCCTGAGGCTGACAGGCTACCTGTCAGAGCAGGCGTGCTGCGGCAAGTGCCTGTCCCCCAGCCTCTCCCCACCTGCCGTATCAGAGTATCCAGGTGGAGGGCTTGGTCTGAGCATCGTGTCGACCCCTCCATGTCAAACCCTACCCCTGCTCCACGATGTCCACGGGAAGGGACCACAGTGCATCCACCCATAACCCTCCCTGCTGCGGATTCTCATCTGCAAAAATGTCTGTGAGACGTCAGCGCATGAGGCTTGATCTGCCCGAAACCAAGCGTTTTCCTTTAAAACCAGGAAAAAATAGGCACTATTCATCCTGCACTCCTTTCTGCAATCCTACTTTTGAAGCACCTGCTGTGTTGGCACTCGAGTAGCTGGAAAAATTAAGTCAAGTATCTTCTTTCCGACATCAGCCACGCGGCCAGTGGGATGAGAGTGGGGGATGCTGGGACGCTGAGCCAGGCTCCTCTTCCTGCTCCGCAGGGACCGCGCTGCCCTCTCCCGGCATCCTCCTGCAGTTTCGTCTCCCTTCATCCTCCACTCGCCTGGCTATCAGCTGGCAGCAGAGCGGTCCTGCTCCGGTGTGCCGTCCTGCTTGTCTCTGCAGGGGGTGCAGCAAAGATGGACCGGAAGGAAGTCAGTGGTCACAAGGGTACCTATGAGTATCTCCTGTGGGCAGGAGTTGTTAGCATTTAGAGTTGCTATGACTGTCACAGACTGAATCATGTCCGCCCCCCCAAAATATGCTGAAGTTCTAGCCACCAGTACCACGGAACCACACCTCATTTGGAAATCGGGTTGTTGCAGATATAATTAGCTACGATGAGGTCATAGTGGAGCAGGGGTCTGTATTCTGACATGACTGGTGTCCTGTTAAGAAGGTAAGAGACACAGACACAGGGCGAGGGGGGCAGAGACTGAAGCGGTGCATCTCCAAGCCAGGGAACAGCAACGGTGGCCCAGGGCCACCAGAAGCCAGGAGGGAGGCCTGGGACAGTCTCCCTCAGAGCCTCCAGAAGGAACCAACCTTGCCAACACCTTGATTTCAGACTTCTGGTCTCCAGGCGGCGAGACAATACATGTCCGTTGTTGTGAGCCACTCGGCTGGTGGTGCTGTGTCACAGCCGCCCTGGGAAACCAGCACAGCCTCCTCCTGAATCAGAAGCTGCAAGAACGGGCCTGGGGGCCTGCATTTCCACATGTTCGTCAAACCGTTCTGGTGCCCAAAAGTTTGAGAATTTCTGCTGGAGACCAGTGTGCCCAAACCTTGTGTCCGCTGGTTGGTCCTGGGCTGAGTCACAAGAATCCTCATCTAAAACTGTGCCCGAGGACCGAGGGAACGAAACGTGCCCACCGAACTGAGAAGGTGCCTTGAGACTGAAAAACGGGGCAGGCAACACGATGTGTGTTGTGGGTGACTTACATGCGGCTCGGATGGGACATGAGGCAACGTGGCAGCGTCTGGAGCTGAACTCTGCACCTCCGAGGGGCCGTGCGGATAATTGTATAGTTAACCTAAGGTATGGGGGTGAGTGCTTAGAGATGGGGATTGCATTTCTAAGTCAAGGCCCTATCTGGTTTATGATGGGCGACTAGTCTCACGGGTGCCAGGAGTACGTCAGTGAAGGTCCTGAACGTTCTCTGGAGACTAACAGAGCACAGAAGCTATCTGGACCTGGTGATCATTAAAGAGTATCTACTAACTGCAAAGCCCCTGATGACAGAGAGGAGATTCATGGCACAGTACAGCCCCAGGCAGGGTCAGTGGGAGGACAGGAGGAGCTGAATGGGCCCAAGATGGTGTCTGCTGTGCTAACAGCCAGACGAACTGCAAACCCTTCAGCACTTCCTCCCCTTTGCCCTGGATCATTCATCTGCAATTCCAAGCCCTCTTGGGTTGAAGGATGCTACTGAAGGCTCCTACTCGCCCCTTCCCCGCACAGCGACATGTGTCTTGCCTGGACCAAGTGTGCTTCTGCAACTAGAGAAAGCTCTTGAGCAAAGAAAAGGTTCCCCTCCTCCCGTGGGACGAGGACGCTGTCGCAGGTGTGAAGTGCCAAGGGGACAGGGGCGGGACAACTGCTGTGTCAGCTCCCATAGAAGATTCTCATCCAGTCCTTTGACAGATGTGTCATAATCCTGGACGGGGACCTGGGGACACAGAAGTGGATCTAGCTGGGCCCGTGTCCTCGGATTGCCCGCAGCCTGCAGAGGAGATGCTGGTATGCAGACGTGCGCGGGTCACTGTGGGGATGCGGAGGAGATACCCTGGGTCTGACCTCTCTGGACGTCAGTTTCTAAACAGAGAACAAAATTAAAATGAGCTCTGCCTGATTTTGTGAAAGTGCAGCTATTGGCTAATGGTCTCAGCTGGCAGAAGGCCTCCGAGTCAGGTGGAATGTCTGCTTCCAGAGACTGGCTGGGACTTCCGAGACCTGCGCAGCTGGGTTTCCATCCATTTGAGAAGTGCACCGTGGGGCTTGACCTCCTATTTTTGGCCAAAGATCTGAGCTGGGATGATTTTTCCAAAAGGTCTTCTGAGACATGTGACAAAAGTTTTGCCAAACATAAGAAGCCCTTGGTGAGAAAGGGGTTTGAGGAGCTGAATTTTCTATCCGTGTCCACTCTTAAAGGAATAGAAACATTTAAAACTCACATGAACGCTACCTTTT